CTAAGTAGATACAATCTTGCTAGTTTTTGAAGAAGCAAACGTAATGATGTCTTCTTAATCCTTTTTCTCAAAAGACTTTTTATACTTCTGAATTTAAAGAGACATTTTTACATATTGAACCAATAGTTCAAAACTATTTCGAATTCTCGCAAAATTTATACTGTATATACTTTTAAATCTAAGTGACAGTCAAGATAAAATTAGTTGTTTGAATTGACAAATATACAGATTTGTTAACTAAGGTACAAAGCTGCTGTGATGAACTCAACTGTTCTCAGCATAATGTCCTGAATTCTTTGATATTCAAACTAAGATATCTAAAAAAATCTTGTTTGTGGTGGTAAAACAATCTGTTAAATATCATATTCACAAACTTAAAAGCACTCCTAGGGAAAGTACTGCGACATGCAATGATATATTGCCAAAGGACTACTTATAGCATTCTTCGAAACCTGAATGGACAAGCTTTATTGTCGAGAAATGAGTCTTCTTATCCGTTAAAACAGAAGGCGTTGGAAACCATGCTGGTACCAGACTTGCTGCCATGTAAGTTTTTCGTACCATGAGTGACATTATTAACCATTATTTCGTTCAAACAGCATGTGAAATAAGCAATCATGAGTATAATTTCAGTTATTCCTCTTAGTTATTACGATATTTTTAATGTAGAGTGGCACATATAACTTGAATAGTAACTTGCTGACAGTTGAAAACAGCTGCTTAAATTTTATTCAGGGTTTTAAGTATTATTGTTCGTAAAGCTTCGGTTAACCTTGTCGTAAACAGCATTTTGAAACTTCGGGTAGATTGATGCCTGCAAAATAGCCGCAAAGCGATGTTTTACATGCTTATTAATAAACGTACAATCGTGTGATCACATATAGCGATCACCGAGATACAGTGATTATCCATTCAAATTGACCAACTCTACAATATATGGGAGGATAAAAAGTCATAAGAACACGACATAATCACATAGTTTTCACCAAGTAATGTAGAGAAACTTCATTTATGCTCATATACACATTACAATTTGTGTATAAATTGGAGGCGCACTCAAAAATTTAGTCAAGAACTGAACTTTTAACAAAATCCACAGGTAACTTCGAAGGTTCTGTATTTAAATAATTCAGCCAGACATCTAATAGTAAATTCAGCTTCTTCAGTTGAAACAGTGTTTTATTAGACCTTTGAATTCCTGTTTTGTTTCATTTGATTCTAAGTGAATCCATAAACTAATCAGAATTCAAAAATCTCATTTCAAATAAACTGCTTATTCGAGGGATCAAAGAGAGTTATTGAAGGAAAATTTGTATGAATTACTTTAGAGAACGAGTTATACATAAATTCGTTGGAATATAAACAGAGTACCCGATTACCATGAAAACTTGGATAAACAGTAAGTAGAAGAAAACGTTATTGATAATTTTGATGGTGTTATGTCATCAGACCTGGATGGTTCACTTGGAAATAACAACAGACTATAGAAAATTAAAAGAGAAAGTTTCAGATGATACTGTTAACAGAACACTTTAAAACACTAGCAACTACGATTGTAAAATCAAAAAGGCGACACGAAGAAGATAGAAGAATCATCCTTCAAGAGACGTTTGCCAAGATTTCAAAACCGTGAGCATCAAAAGGGAAAGAAACAAGTGATTGCGCGGTCAACTAGTCCAAACAGTTTTTGATCAAATCCAAGAAACTACTCCTTCAGAAAGGGTTAATTTACAGCATGGGAGATGTTTCAGGACCAGAATTCTTCGTATCCTTAGAGTCATCACTGAAAATTTTACAACAAAACTCTAAGACCCAATAGGAAATATGATAAGTAATCGTACCTCTAACCAGGTGGGAGCAAAACTGCGACCAACTAACAAGTGAAGAACAGAGAGCTCTTGAGAAACTGAAGAATTAAAAGAATGTTGTTATAATTCAGACTGACAAAGGGCGCACCACAGTAGTCATATATAAGGACGATTTCATTCGAAAAGCGGATGACTTACACATGAACCAGAATGTATACCAATCAACCGAGAGGAATTCTATTCAAAAATCTGACTTTAACATCATCAAGTCCTTGAACAAACTTGTCGAAGCGGGACACATTACAAACGAGAGCAAAATTCAGTGGATCTCTTCTACGTTTTTATGATTATTATTTGTCACCAAAAATGCACAAACCAAACTCCTCACTACGACCAACAGGAATCCCAACACACAACCCTTCAAAAGAACTCTTCAGAAAACTAAAATATCTAATAGAATAATGCGACCATTTTATTGACTCTTCACCACAATTTTCGGAAGACGTCAAGCACATTCACACTGACAACAACAACTGACGGTGTCTTTGACTTTACACTATACACCTCAATTGGATCTACATGACTAAACCATCCATCTCAAAGAACACAATACCATCAAAATGATCCTCATGAGCTACACATATTCTCTATCATCTCAAGATAATGATAATTTCTTTGCAGAATATCTGTCGAAGTTAATGCGCGCTGCTCCAGATGCAACAATCAATCATAAACTGTCTATGAATTGGAAGCCATTATTTAATTTATGGTCCTTCAGAGAAATCAAGACAACTTGTTGAGATAGATCTGATACTGCTTTCAAATTCACATCCAGTAACAGAAATACTTTGATGTTGAATGAATCTATGCAATTTTACACATAAAAGCTGTTCTTGTAACATATTACGACGGGCCTTATTGACATAAATATATAACTTCATAATAACATACATACAGATATGCAGAAATGTTCTTTGGTTACATCTTTATCAGTGTCATAAAAAGACACATAACTGGATGAAGAATAAATGAAAAAGAAACTGATGTGTACTGTACTATAGGAGTAAAACTGGGACACTGCGGAACGTCTCCATTTTAGTCTGTTTATTAGACAAATAAATTATGTCCGAACCGTTATCCAAGTAATGATACTGTTCAGTGTGTGACATTTCTAATAAACAAACTAAAATGGAGACGTAGACTCTACCGCAGTGGAAATCATAGTTTCCGGCTTATCGCATCAAATTCAAAAATGATCGATGTGACTATGAAATACAGTACGACTGAAAATAATACACCTTATCAATATTTTACATTCACATGTTTCTTATTTGGCTGTCAGTCATACTAAATATGTGTTGGCTGTCCAAAGCTAAGTTTACGGAGTGTATTCGGATATCTGACCAAGCTACTGATAGTCCAATTCAAACAACCAGACTACAGTTAATGAAACTGATGTTGATAATCCCCTACTAATTTAAGGTTTATGAAGCTATATTCCTGTAATTCAGTTACTCCTGGGTGCTAGTCAATAAACTTTCATTATTTTAATAAGCTTGGTCGACTGGATCAAATACAAAAGATAATGAATTTCTTAAATAACTTTCACTAGTGCTATCACATATGAAACTTGAAGTACAAATTATCAATAACAAAAGACACGCATATTACACAGAAGGTATTTTGCTATTGAAACACTGATCGTTCACTTACTTTTAATTCTCAAATTAAAGCCGAAACTTAATGGCTACTTTGAACGAAAGTCCGCCATTATGAGATGAGATTAGCGAACTAATGCTTCATAAATAGATAACATCAAACCATGTATATACAAATATTGACATACAATTCACTGTTCGAGCAGTTATCTCACTGTTACTGATTTCTGCTGCTAACAGTGCAAAATATAATTTAACTGATAACTGTATACCACATTCTTTTTAAGTGAGGTTTATACTTTTTAAAAGAAATATTAGTGGTCTGCTGTCTAACTAACATTTGATGACTGACTCTTGTTTTCGGTCGCTGTTATAACATCAGGAAATTTCAAGCAAACTAAAATAAAATGTTTCTAATTATTTTTCACTTACGTGAATGTTTGGTCAGTGCTTGAAACATGTGTACCGTACTTTCTTGTTGTTAAATAATGTTTTTCTTGTTATTCTTTATAAAAAAACTTAGTTGGTAGTTCATTCAATGGGGACAAACTTTCTACATCCTAAGAGAATACGTTCAAAGGTCAGCTTCGAAAGAAGCAACAACCGTAATGTCCACATAAGTAAAGCATTCACATGAAGCCAAAAATTGCGCTGCTTTAACGTTATTTAGAATCAGGAAATTAGGCTTCTCTTTCAAACTAAGTCAGAGCCGGAAAAAAATTTATCAGTTCATGTTAATAAATTACATCTCATGTAATTTCTACGAACCTGTGTACCCTACAGTTTTCTGACGAAATTTCATAGTCAGTAGTTACGTATCGTAAAACAGACACAATACTCAAAACTGCAATATATTTGAACAATATTACTATATCTGATTGCCGATTGGCTTAACTTTCATTTTTCTTAACACGTTAACTCAGAAGCTCAATCTACAAACCCATTATTATCACGACGTCTGGAAAGCGAGACCTCTAACAGAACATTGCAGATGATCGTTTGTCAGCTTGAATTATAACAACATTCTTTTTATTCTTCAAGATTTCAAGATTTCACTCTCTGTCAGTTTAAAGAGGTGTACAAACCCAGCCAGCTGTTTCCAGATCACACTTATATCTTGCTAGTGAACATCACTGTCCAATGTGAGCCATCTACAACTGCTCGTTTCAGTCAGAATTATACTTCGTTGAGATTAACTACTTTAAAGGTTATCATTTCTGCTACTCAATAATGATTCATGTTAAATTACAGGATGATTTCTTACAAGGAAACTAATAGCTCAACAACTTAGTTTAAAGTAACCAAGTAAAAAAAAGTAAAGTGAATTAACACCGATGGTAAAATATTGTGACTGACTACCATCGAGAATTAATTATTTATGTTACAGTCTGACAGTTGGAACTTTATGCAAACGTTTTGTTGGCACGTAATACAGACAGTTGCAATAGCACACGAAACGGTAGAAACCAACAGGTAAAACTTAATCCAATGTTAATGAGAATCACAATATTCAAAAAATAATAATCTAACTTACTATTTCAAGTAAGAAATGGGATTCTATGGCATCCAGTTATAAGCTTCTCAGATCTCAGTTAATTATTGTATTAGTACTATTTCGAATATTTTGTATAAAATGCCACCAATCATGTGACTGTTATAAGATGTCCTTGAAGTTTCTTTAGGGTGTTTGTGAATGGTTATATCTTAGTGACCTTGGTAGTGATTCATCCTATACTGGTACTCTTTATTGAACGGATTAATGTAGGTGGGTGTGCTCATTTTTTTAATCATTAAAATTTTCAAGTGTTTTTCTAAAGAAAACATCAGGCAATTAAAAGCTCCCTTTATTGGATAAATTACTTATTTGAGCGTATAAAATACCCTTCTACTTTTGACTTCATTCTTTTCCTTTCATCACCAATCGTGAAAAAAGTTGGAAATAAGGCAGTATAATATTGAGCAAATACTGTTTCCCTAAAAACTTATCTTAGTTGAAGAATGTTCTTCCCAGAGCTGTAATCAGAAGTGGCGGCATGCGGGAACATGTAGATCGAATTACAAATAAATGGCTATCATTAAGTTCAGTCATTACATAACCACAGAAAACAAGTAAAACGTTTGGAGGTAAAACAAATCAAATCACTATCAATGAAACATACTGTTTCCCTGTGACCACCTTTCTGATGGAATGAAAAATAACTGCAATAACACCAACTCAAACATTTTGAAAAGGTTGTCATTTGTTCTGAGATGGTTATATTTTATTTCCGATGTCAGCTGATAGTGTGTGCACTTATATCTAAAATGTTGCACTTAAAAATCCCTAGAAGAAATTTCGCTCCTCTGTTGTAATATAAAAGTTGTAATTGACCAAACAATAATTGACTAAGAACTCCGAAACGTTGATTTGTAAACTAGGGTAAGTGATACACAGTTGTGTCACTTAGAACTAAAATCCTCAAGAATAAAGACAAAACTGGTCAACAAAACCAGGAAAAATGATATTTGAATGGAAAGTAAGGAATGAGGTTACTTACCACCTAATGGAAGGGGAAGCGTATATCAACAATAAAAGCGTATTAGAAGTTTATTACTAGATATGCGAGTAAACATATATATCTGTTGATATTTATATACACAAGTTTATCACCATAAAGTATTTTCAGGTGTACCATCACCTGCAGCTGCAACCATCCAATGAAGTACAGACATTACCGAAAACATCTTTGACACATTTCAGCATCCTTAAATGTAAGAAAATGTAATGAATTCTATTCATCTTTTTTTTATTCTATAGAAAAGTGATCGTTTGTGCGAATTCTTCTAAATAGCTTAGCATTATTAATCCCCTTCCATAAAACTCAATGCAGAAGTCCCTTTCGGAAATTCTTCAAATCATAATAAAGCACTTTGACTCATTAAAAACCAACTTACACTGTTTTCATTTTAAGTCATCCAGAAGGAAAGTTGTAATCTCTAACAACAAGCCAGTCATTGTTCATGAAATAAACAACAGTTACTGAATGAGACGCTACATTAAGGATATAAAACTAGATAACTCCTACACCCCTAATACTCAAGTTAGTCACTGATCACTAACATCGCCATAATAGCCTTGCTTGATTTATAAGTTACAGTTATATGAACCACTCGGAAAAAGAATAACACCGATTTCCAAACGATGAAATATGGAATACTTCGCATCCAGCGCTTACTACTATGGCTGAATGAGAAAATGTTCATTACAAGGAATAACTGATTGAATCACTCACAGCGCTTCAAAGCTAATCTGCAGCTGACGTGCTAGTTAGTAAGAAGAAGATTGAAAAATAACGTATTTAAAATAAAACAGGTGATATGAGCCACAACAAAATTAAGAATCGATCAAAATCAGGGTGAAATGATTCGGCGTAAGAACAAAATTCAAACTTGAAAAAAATACAAATCTGAAGAAAAACAGTTTATTGGAGAATAAGTTCGTCCTTACTCAACGAGGTCACAGACTTATTCGGATAAATATTAAAGCAATAAAATGAACAACTTCACAGTTAGTTGACATGACGATTATAAGCGTTTTCGATTTTATCAAGAAAAAGCAATGTTCATAGATAAACGTTCAGCGTCGCACCAGACAACATCTTCTAGTGTGACTGAGCAAAGGAGAACGCAGAAGCATAAATTCGTCAATCCTGCAACATGTAGTTGACTACAATCATGCAGCTTCCGAATCATCATTTGACATTATTTACAAAGTCAGAACAGACTCATCGAAAAGTGGACTAAAGCACCTGCTTTGTATTTCAGAAACGATGATACGTAATCTTAAACCAGAACTATGTGTACAGAAACAGTTTCCGAGACCTCTTTCACTACCCTCCATCTACCTCACCATTTTGGCGACGTGTTTCATACATCTAGCTCTTCCATATTTCTCTTTTATTCTCTTTCAATTCATTCCTTTTCATGACAATTTCACCTCTCTTGACAGGGATCACATTCTGTCTGTCTAACTGATATTCAGATTTGTAGTCTCGTATAACCTTCACTCAACTTCTTTTTAAATGAAATCACAAGATATTCATTCACTAATTCGCCTCCTTGCTCGCATCTCTGACCTTTAGTCGCCTGTAATTTTACAATTGATTTGATGATTCATGAAATATTATCCTGGCTCATATTATTGCACTTTACGATCCCATCAATTGTAAACCGAAACACACAGTTATATGTAAATACGATTACTCAGCTTTCAAAAAGGAAATCGTCGAAAAGAGGAATTTTCTGGCTGAACTCTTTGTTTTATATTCAGAAGAGTTGGTTTTTGTATTCTGAGAAGTATAAAAAGATAGAAAGCAAGCAGTGTGAAAACATATAGATCTTTGTGAGAAAATTGCTACTTAAAAACACCTACCTTAATAATATCAGTACGTTTTTCATATTATTTCACCAAAACCTGTTATCTAATAAACTACAAAGGACTTTATGGCGAATAAATGTAGCTTGGTGACCGAGTGAACAGTGATCTGTTTTCTAAGCTGTGGCTTTATCTGTCAAACACCTCAGTGTCATGTAGTCTCCCTATATTTTAATGTCTTTGACTTTCTCTATGAAGTGAGTTGCCGAGTTGAGTTGGTTGATTTACTATTGACTCAGTTTTTCTGCTAAGTATTTTCGTAGGTTGTATTTTGGCACGCATCCGCAGAAGTGAAACAATTTATAGAAGAGCTACATCTGGTTCATCGGTTCCCCATAGAATCGTGGGAGTATGGGTCTGCTTTATCTAATCTTCCACTTATCTGCTTTGTCGACCTGTGCTTCCTTGAAGAGTTTGCTCAACTTGTTCCTTATTTTTATTAGCCTTTTGACTATCTGAGATGGTAGTGGTTTGACAGATTTATATGGATACTGGGTAATGATTGAAGGTGAAATGAAAATTTGAACCACAGCCGGACTCGAGCCAGTGACCAGCATGTTTTTGGCCCGATGATCTACTAACTGAGCTACGAGGTCCTATGGCTGACCAAATTTTTATTTCATTCCAATCGTCACTGGTTTTATTGTCTAGCTTTTTGATTTGATTCTAGTTTTCTGTATGTCATCTCTTCTGGATTAATTCTGTTCCCTTTCTTACTTTGCATCTCTGACCTTTAGTTTCCCTATGTTTTTGCAACTGATTTGACAATTCATGAAATAGTATCCTCACTCATAACGGTGCACTTTCCGATTTTTATTAATTGTAAGAAATGAAACACACGAACAAATTTTGAAGTTAATGAGGATTTTAATTTTAGATAGTATTATCAGTTATTATCCCCTTGACCTTCTGAGGTAGCTGTTGTTTGATATGGTTTTTTGATTGTCTATCTCAACTTATATATAAATGTGGTTGTAGAGCTTTCGAAATAAAATCGTTGCAAAGAAACATTTTCTTTACTGAAGTCTTTGTGATAGAAAGGAATTTGCCACTCATGAAAGTATTGTGAAAGCTAACATTTTTGAAACCAAAATAATATCATTCAATGTTACGATTGCAAGTCATAGATTCAGCAACTCCTAGTAGACAATAAAAAGTCACAAAATCACCTTCTGAAGTAATATTTAATACCACCTGATCGTGTGAGCAGTCACTCATGAACTACAGTCATTAGTCTAAATTGGTAGATAGTACATATTATTTTAAAGACATAGTTGCCTATGTATTTCTGCGAAGTTAGTTTTATTTTCGGTGTATACCAACAAGTATAGCACAAAATCCGTAATATATAACAGATTTTTGTCGATACTGACTAGGGGGACATTTTTTGGGAATGGACTCTGAAATGTTGGACAAAATAAAAACTGATCATTCATTCTAAATCAATAATGAACTGTTAAAATCATCTACGTAGAGTTTTGTGGATTGACTCAAACACTATTCAGCTGTAATCATTATGGTGACAAATATTAAGTTGGTCACTAAATATTGTAAGGCTGACTACTTCTGATTTTGAATAAAATTAGGTAATACATATCATCACTATATTTTGTCATATTCATGTTAAAAACACTACTGGCTTGTGGTTGCTTCTCAGTAGTTCATAAATAGAAACTTAAGCGATATCACACTTCATTGGCTAAGAAGAATGTTGTTGCACGATATGCAGTTTACTAATGACTTACAAACTCATCAGATTTTTATTGACCGATAAAATCAGTTTCACTCTAAAATACTATCTCACATACACTCGTGACAAATAAAACTTATGTAGTTCTCAAAGAACTTCGGCATAAACACAAAGTAAACTATAAATACAACTGATCATTGTTAATTGGTTTCATTGTATTCCTAAATAAGTTGACTTCAGGTATTACAAGAACCATTTGACAAAGCAAAGTGAAGTAATAAGCTGAAGCATATCTTTTTCAGCATCCTTTCGTTAGTCTACCGCATATAGTTGGAAAATATTCTAAGCAATCATCGAATAACTTGAAGGCGACAGTAAAAGCAGTTACTGACTTTAAACATGGATAAAAGGGCATTAATACAAAAATTTCATGAAATGGATAAAAATGGTGATGGCTTTTTAACACCTGAAGAAATTCGCATCTGTGTTAGGCGTTCCGGTCTACCCGAATCAACTGTGAATGTAAGTCTATTTGACAAAGAAATATCCAAAAACCCTTACATGCAAATATTTTGTTTCGTAACTCGTCATTATTCTCCTTTATAGGTGGGAAGGGACGTATTTATCGAACCGAACCAGCGTTTAACCTTGATTTTAACCAAATACTTTATCTTCAGTTTCATCTTCCCTAAACAACATTTCACCATCACATTGAATACGTTTGTTTTAATCACCATCATCATTTGGCTTATCTTGTCTAATACGTATATGTATCTTTCAAAAAGTTCCGCAACTGTCGACATGAATTCAGATTACCATTTTTTAGGTTGATACAGTATAGTACTAACTTGATAACAAGAATCCAGAATTTTACAATAACTAAATGCACCTCGTAGAATAATTATGGAGTTTGGGCTGAATCTGGCTCACCTTGGAATTTCTGCAGAACTTATGTTGATTTGGTTCATCAAAAAACCATACTGGATATTTATTTGAGCCAAATACCTACTGTTTCTCTTCTGAAAAAGAGGGAAACCTTATAAGGTCTATTGTTCACTATTAAATATTATTTGGTTTTGAAGTAATAGCTTTTAGTTTTCCTCACTAACTGGTCCTAAATGGTTGATAACAAAGAAGTGCAGTGCTGAGAGGAACTATTTTTCCTGCACGATAAACTTCACAATCTCCTACTTAAAGTTACCAAAAAACGTGGTAGCCTGAATACTTCACATTAAAATTTCTACTTGTAAATAGAATACATGTAAAAACAGCCATGAAAGTGTCTACATATGATCACTTTGGAAAAAAGGACAAGCACATTAAAAATTACCTGGATGATTCATACTGAGGAAGTTGCTAGACTGCTACTTGTATAAATGTCTACAGTTTGAACATAGTTTCGACTAGGGGGATTATTGTGACAAGAAAAACATTTTATAATTACACTCATTTGCATGGATTTGACATCATTAGTAAGTGGCTTTACATTTATGCGGTTTGGTTTCAGTCAAAACTGCTGTATTGTAGCTCAGAAGCAACTTAACCCCTTAATGCATCCACGAATTTTTTTAAAGACTCTGTACCCAACGTGCCTCTGCCAAGAAGAAAGGATCATTTAATTCATAATGACTATATGACTCTAGAGTATTTCATTAAGTTATTTCTTTGCAAAAGTCGTGTTTTAAGGAAAATTTGGAGGGATAAAAGATCAAACATAATAGTTTGCTTGTCAAGTTGTCGAGCCTTGAACACAATGAGAATGAGATTTCATAAACAACAGTGCAGCAGCAATAATAATAAAGAGAAGAAACTGATGAAGTCTGCGAAGATTTATTATCTAAGAACCCTAGCTGCAGGTTTCTGATTTACGGACGGCCAAGCTATTAAAATGATTAGCATAAATCCTTTATTCAGCTAATTCCTGTGCTGCAATTACCAAACCACCTCAGACCTTTTATAGGGAAATAACTCAGTTGACTGATTTGCCTTTCTTTATTAGCTACCATGTACCGTTTTAACTGTTAATAATCTTAATACCTCAAAATATGAGTGACTAGATAACACTTCTTCTTCTTTAATAGCTAACCTCAGCTATCCAGCTAGAAGTGATAAGTGAACAAATTTCTAGTTTTCTGTTATACATGATAGTGATTCAGATTTGTTAGTTTTAGTCTGAGGTTTTTTCACCCACTCTGTTTTGGAAGATAGTAATAACAAACAGTATGTTTTATACAGTATGGAATTCTCAGCAAGTTGCTTACCAGAACAATATATTTGAACGAAATGATAACTACATCCGAGTGTTGTTAATAATAGGACTAATAAAGACAGTGGTATTGAACAATCAGCTGGTGTTGGATTAGCTTCTCATCTAGAACATTGGATGTACAGGAAATAAAGCGTAAGTTTGGTGATGACGACTCATTCAGCCAACACAAGAATCTGCCATTCGAGCCAAGTGTCTCGGGAGTGGAAATATGAGAAATTTTTGAAAAAAAAGATTCATTTCCATCTAAATTAACATTTTCTCTTCGTTTTGTTATCTACTCGAGAAAAGGCTGGCTGAAAACATTTTGAAACTGTCCAAGAGTACATATCACGTTTAGAAGACATAGATAAATGACTGAAACAAACTGAATGCAAAGAATATAACTTATATGTTCGGTGAAAACTGTTGGTACCCCCAAGTTCAAACAGGCCGCCAGATAGTAATCATTGCGTAGATGGTAAATTCAAACAATAAATGTTCACTTAAAGTCTGGTCAGTACAAAGTGCTCACCAGAATGAGAGATTTCTATCAAAGACACAAAACAGCCTACAATGGTTTATGCTAGGAAAAGACAGTTTAACACTGGAGCATAACAAAGATGCATATTATAAATTGCATGGATTATTTGGGAAAACATCGGTTTATTGACTGTTTGATAGCTAATTCGAACTCAAGTTCACCATCACTTTTAACCTTCATTTCTGCTTGTACATTTCAATCCTCGATGAAGACAGTCCTAGTCACTTGGGGCTAAGTAGAAGCTTCAAGAATTCAGTAACTTATTTTAAATGACAATTGAGAATTTAAATTCAACGTTTAACAATTAGAGTTTGTACCTTACTCTTTTAAACTCAACTTGGAGAAATGCATACTGTTCTAACTTCAATAACATATGGTGCTTGACAGAGTAATAAGATGTTTTGTTTTAGTGGAAAAACCACTGAATATTGTGTTATAAACATTTTAAAGACCGATTTAAATTACACATTCATGAAATATCATTCACATAATATGAAATATCGATATCTGGAACTTTTCTATAAACTCTTTGAAGCAATAAAACTACCTAGGAGAATCATGTCAAAGTAAGGCCAATTAACTATGATACTGCAATACAGCAACTTTACTGCTGCATCAGCAAGTATAGTCAAATTCATAGTAGGAGTGACTCTTCGCCAACCAAAAAGTCCACAATCTCAGTGGGAACAACATTTCTCGATGAGGTGCAGGTACGCCTAGGCGACTGGTCCCAAATAGGACGAAAAGCACATCCTAGATTCCACTATTGGCCCCGAGTAGACTACAATGCGATGAGTATCCAGGCAGTATCGAGACGTGCACATAACAGCCCGTCTGCCAATAGAGATCCAGAAGTTCGACCCAACGGAAAATTACAGGTATCAACAAATAAGTACTGTGACACCTTATTCAGTGAACTGATAACAGTTATTCAAAAGAAATTCAAATAAAAACTCCAGTTATCTTACTGGGATAGATATGCCTACTTATTACAATCTAGCAAATGAGATGCACTAATAAATACATATGCATATATGAAAGACGTTTTGCTAAATTGGTGAATTGTCAGCCTACCGAGAGAGGTTTCTGTTACTTATCCAAGCGTATTATTCTATTATTACCACCTCAAGTAGGCATATTTTATCTAGGCTTGTAGTTAGTAAGTGAGGGACACGGTAATCATACTGTTATTTTTCCAACTTCCTTGTTACACAATAATTACATAAATATATTGGAATAATAATAATCGCTTTATTTCAAACATCTGTGATACATTATGGAATTTTCAGTAGGAAATATTTCAACGGATACGTTCCCCTTATAATATTTTTAAAAGAAGTAATTATTGCATTTAAATAGTGCTAGTAATGCTAATAATAAGAATTTAATAAAAGGCATTAATATGAAATGGACAGTTGGTGCTACATAAGTGCTTGTTTCGGGCTTGGTTATGAATAAAAATTGAGTGTAATTATAATGGTGGTAGTTCAGTCAGCCAGCACAAAAATCTGCAATTAGATACCGGTGTTCTAGGAATAGAACTGTATTGTATTTTTGAGCATTTATAAGTCCCTTTCCATCCGGTGTAATGTTTTTTCTTTCCTTTGTTCTTATCTTGAGAAACGATAGTTTGAAAACATTTTTAAAACGTGAGAAAGTACAATGATTTGTTTGGAAGACATTTAAAATAATCAAGCAAACAAAGGGCAAAATTTGATGCCATATATATTCCATAGAAAAAGTTTGGTAGCCCAGGGCTTAAGTAGGCTGCCTTGTTAGTGTCCAAACTTTGTATAACATGATGAGCTATAGAATGAAAATTAGTATGGCTATGGACTGAAATTAAACGTTTTTTTCTGCCATGAGAACTTGCTGACTTAATTTCATTGCAAGTTTTTTTCAAATCGATAGATGACTATTACATGCAGCTTGATTTTCAAAACTAACATAATCACTGTCACCTGGTACGTTTCATTTTCTTCAATTTGTACTCACCACCTATACATAAATAGGCTCCTGTATTGAAGAATAGATTTTATAGGTGACGTGCTACTTTCTAGCGAATCAAGTGAACAAAACAGCTTATTCATAAACAGACTTCTTACATTATGTTTTCCTTTGTAGATTTCATCAAAACGGAGAAAAAAGCGCTTCATAAAACATATTCTTATTTTTATTAAACTAGTAACACTTCACACATTCGTAAAAACTGCAAACTAGCCAAAAGATGGTCGCATCTAATAGTCAGTTTCCATACTTGAATAACCAAGATCTTTAGATTTGTAAATACTGCTTTAAAACATAAGCAGTTCAGTTAAACATACACTGATAACATAAATACAATTTTCCAATGTCTGTCTTGTTTTTCTTCACATCTTTTTTGTCGAAAAGGAATTCTTAAAGTTGTTTGATCTAAGCGGGGACAGTGTCATCACACTTCAAGAATATAGTTGTGCACTTGGTTTGCAACCTCCACCGCCTAAAGAGTGAGTTTAACTTCAACTGTTAACGAGTAAACATGATCATTTTTATCACTATTTTTCTCTTTTGAATTTTTGGAACATTTTACTTTGCTGAAAATGATGTCATTCATGTCACATTATAATACACTTGCAGTGATTGCTTTCTTTGTTGCTGAAGTCAATACTTCACATTACTTTGCTTATTATAGATGTGATTCAATTAACACTAATATGAGAAATATGCTGTAGCTAAAATGCAAAGTACAAATCACTTGTAAACATGATATATGTGTGACAAGCGCAACCATATATATCGTTAACTAACCAAATAACCTCTTGTCTAATTCTGACATTCAAATAAGTTAAGTGGACTGAATGAAAAATTAATAATGCAAGACGCTTTAAAACATTCACTAGATGCGAAATGATACATCTGTGTTGCATTACACTTTTGGTACGGTTATCTTCCACAGAATTTATTGCCACCCTTTTACTTCGCATTTCGTAATGCTCAGGCAATTAAATCAAAGAGACCAGTTAACCCAATGACTAAAGAGAACTTGTTTGAGGCTGTGCTACGTAATAGATTTCCTGGCACTTCGTCTTGTGTGACTTCACCAAGTGCAAGACAACAAACAGTGAATATACTTCCATATTAGATTTGTTTGTTTCATTTATAACACACAGTGATACAGTATTAGCTACTTGATGATGTTTCGAGCATAAATTATTAACACTCAAATTCATATCAGTTTAATGACACCACCTACAACAATCGAATTTTATAGTCTTATCATCTCTATTCTTTGTTTCTATTGGTAGTAAAATTTTCCATATATGCGGTATGTATTGAATCACTTTTATTACATGTGTTGGGTGTTGGTTGATTCGATGAACATAGATTCAGTAATCATTCTCTCACTGCACCTAATTATATTGGACTTAGGTACAGTGGTTTTATTCCAACAATCCTGTTGTGTGGTTGTGTTAATGCATGTATTGCAATAGCCAAGTGTTTTTCTAGATTACTGATCTTATTCGACTCTATCATTTTACATTCGGTAAAATTCCTATGTTCTGCCAATCTAACTGACCCTGACAGGCCAGTTCAACCTATATACTTCACTTCACAGTTATCACGTGGAATTCGATAGATTACATTAAAGTACTTAACTGTTTCTATTGGGTCCTTATGCCAGCAAAGTTTATTTCTCAGTCTGTAGATTCACGTGCCACCCTAATTCCATCATTGTTTAAAATTCTACATACATTTTCTAAAGTTCCTTCACTGTATGATGACACAATTGAGGATTTGAGCTCCTTTCTAATATTGCCGTCATTATTATTCGTACTCGTGTTACTGCTACTATTTCGTTTCGTATGTCCTCATAAGAATTTCTTAGTAAACGGTAGAGGATAGCTATTATATATTAGAGCTTATTTTACGCGTTTCAATTCCTTGTTTAATTCTTGTCAGTGGCTAGTAACTTTTTTTAGCTGAGATGACTTGAAGTCTAGATTCCTACTATCATTATTATTTGTCCCTTGGGTTCGTAGTGGAACATAGGGCTTCACTTGCACGCCGCCATTTCACTCTCTTATCTGCAGTCTTTTGAACCTGGCTGCAACACTACCCATAAACTTTCATTTCCTCCTCACACCATCTCCTCCATGTCACTTTCAGTTGGAACGCTCAACTCATCGTTTCCCATAAGGGTTTCACTTGAGGGCCTTGCCTGGCACATGATGTATCAGTGTATATCCAATCCAATCCATCTCCACCTTCGTCACATTTGTTTAGTGATAGACTCTTCGTCGGTTCGTTGACAGCTAGCCAGCCAGTCAGAGTTCTTTGTGGCTTATTCTTATTATTCTAGCCATCTGATCTCCATCTTCAGTATCGAGTGAGTGTAGGCGGCAGCTGTTGATGTAAAGTAAGTCTGTAGTTTGTTTGAAACGTTTTTCCTGAGAGCCAAGTCTCTCAACCATCACATAGAAGCACCGACTTGACTGAATTAGTGTTGAAAAATCCGGATCTTATTCACGCTTTATGCTGAGAGCAGTGCAGTGCAGTAGATCTCCACACCAGTATCAGGTTAATGAAGGCCTGTCTTGCTGTGTTTCCGATTTCGTTTTGACGTCCTCATCTGTGCCTGTGCCGCCAACTGTAGTTGAAACGGTGCTGCCTAGGTAGGTAGGTAGGTAGGTAGGTAGGTAGGTAGGTAGGTAGGTAGGTAGGTAGGTAGTAGGTAGGTAGGTAGTAGGTAGGTAGGTAGGTAGGTAGGTAGGTAGGTAGGTAGGTAGGTAGGTAGGTAGGTAGGTAGGTAGGTAGGTAGGTAGGTAGGTAGGTAGGTAGGTAGGTAGGTAGGTAGGTAGGTAGGTAGGTAGGTAGGTAGGTAGGTAGGTAGGTGAAAGAGACAACCTCCTTTAGATTTTTCACTTTAATGATGATCGGTGCTTGTCGTTCTTGTTGTTGGTAGGGTATCTTCATCACCTCCATCTTCTCAACGTTCACCCTGTAGGAAGTCCCGACTTCCTTTGCTACCTCACCCTGCCTCTTCCGCAAACTTGTTAATTTTTCCCTGTTGATCTTCAAGTTTGTGCGACAAGACCGTTTCAACTACAGTTGGCGGCACAGTCGAGGATGTGAAAAGCAGAATTAGAAAAGCAAGACAGGCTTTCATTAATTTTAAATCAGTGTGGAGGTCTGCTGAACTCAGCACAAAGAACAAGATCCGGATTTTTAACATCAATATCAAGTCCTTGCTGTGATATGGTTCAGAAACTTGGCGCGTCTCAAAAAGCACTTTCAACAAACTGAGATATACATCACATCAACAGCTGCCGCCTACACTCACTCGATACTGAAGATGGAGATCAGATGGCTAGAATAATAAGAATAAGCCACAAAGAACTCTGACTGGCTGGCTGGCTGTCAACGAACCGACGAAGAGTCTATCACCAAACAAATGTGATGAAGGTGGAGATGGATTGGATTGGATATACACTGATACATAATGTGCCAGGCAAGGCCCTCAAGTGAAACCCTCATGGGAAACGATGAGTTGAGCGTTCCAACTGAAAGTGACATGGAGGAGATGGTGTGAGGAGGAAATGAAAGTTTATGGGTAGTGTTGCAGCCAGGTTCAAAAGACTGCAGATAAGAGAGTGAAATGGCGGCGAGCAAGTGAAGCCCTATGTTCCACTACGAACCCAAGGGATAGAAGTTAATAATAATAATGACAATAATAATATTATGTATGTATGAAACGCAGTAATCACTTCACTTTCAACTAACTAGTGTTCGCGAATAATTCATAGTTTAGAAAGACGTTTACTCAAAATGCTTATATTATTGCGTTCGCAAAACTATAGGGCTGTTGCAAACATTAGCATGACGCTAAGAAGGAATGTAATCTCTTTTTGTGCCCTTACTTATAAAGTGGTAATGCACTGAATGAATTTTATATATTCGTCCACTCAGAACCTACAAATCAGAACTAGTCAGCCCAATTTACTTGTCTGATGAGACATTTTGCTTTGGTGGTTAGTACCTAGGAAACAGAATACTACTAGGGAGACTGGTATTTGAAACTGATAACAGGCAATGAGTGGAACTCTTCCATGACAAAAATTCTTGAATGTTTTTACAAATCCTGAAAGTCATTTACATGGATTCAACGACCAACTAGTTCGTAATATTCTAGGGCTGAAATATATAGCGAAGTCAGATGTATCCATTTATAAATCGACACAAAGTCCTGTTCACTATTTATTCATTACCGGACAACAAGACTGTCTCCAAATTTCAGTTTGTCAGAGTTAATATAGCTTCTTGTTAGATAGTATTTGGCAAACCTAAGTGGAAGTCTATGCACACCACAATCGCTTAAATATAGGCGAATTCTAGATATTTTCGAATACAGTTTAGAGGTTTGCATGGACTGATTGGTTTCAAGGTGATTTATATCAAAAACTAAAATCAATCGGGGGACAGTATATAATGCATGAGCACCGAATAGCTATTCTTCTATATTTCGCTACTCTTGCGATGAGCAAGTTACCAGTGACCCGCTGGGTTGAAGTTCAGTGGTTCACGTTTTTTCCTACTTCTGTCAACTCATGACGTCACAAAACTATCATCCGATATCATCAGAGGGTATTTGACCTTACTTCGTTGACCTTATATTCCAGCCTGTGACACAGATCACCTTGAAACCAATAAATCCTTACAGACCTCCAAACTGAATTATTGTCTGGTGCTCGTTAGTGAAATTCTTCTACATGGATTTCCTGAACTTCGAATGAAAAGCTAAGAATTCTTGAATCAACCAAGTAGAGTTCAAGAACAAATACTCTGTGATGACATTGGATGTTGGTTGCACCGTATCGCGAATCAACAGAAGTAGGAAAAGAGTGAAACACTGAAATTCAACCTAGTGGCTCAATAGCAACTTGCTCACCTCAAGACCTTAAGGTTCTAGGTTCGATATCCGGTGGGTTTGTGGGTGCACACCGCTACGGAGTAGCAATATATATATATATATATATATATATATATATATATATATATATATATATATATATATATAAACCTGGCTAGTGCTTCGAGGTACTGATTGATTCTCAGACTGGTATCAGTCTGTGATGATTACAAACTTGGAACCTTAGAATTTGTTGAGGAACTGTTTTGTCACAGATTAGAAATACTTAGCATGTTCAAAAACCTTAAAATAAGAAAATACATCCTCGATACACATTAGAAAAATTAATTGACTAACAACGCAAACGTTTGCGTGAAAACTTAAGGATTATCCTCAATTTATACTTACCAAGGGTGTTTAAGGATTCTAATATTTGTTATATTATTAAGTAGTGGGATAGTAAAAATTCAGATCAACTGCTTTATTTTGTTAGCAAATGAAAACTAGTTGTTCATGTGTGAATGTGCAATAGTCGCTTCAGTCAAGATTTCATTAATTCAGTAACATTTCAGTGTATAATTAGATTGCAAATACATTTCA